GTCTCACACAGGTGAACTCCGCCTTTCCGGTCGAAAGGTGTAAATTCTGAAAGCGCTTGTCCTGTCGACTCGAGGCTGAACAAAGCCGAGGTCCCCAGGGCATTTGGAAGGTGAGAAATGTGGTCCAAAGTCTTGGCGGGAAAAAGTCTCGCACGGGTGATCTCCGCCTTTCCGGTCGAAGGGTTTAAATTGTGAAAGCCCATGTCCTTGCGACTCGGGGCTGCACAACCCCGAGGTCCCCAAGGCATTTGGAAGGTGAGAAATTGGGTTCCAATGTCTTGGCGGGAAAACGTCTCGCACGGGTGAACTCCGCCTTTCCCGTCGAAATGTGTAAATTCTGAAAGGCAGAGTCCTGGCAACTCGGGCCTGCACAAACCAAAGGTCCCCAGGGCATTTGGAGGGTGAGAAATTGGGGTCCAAAGTCTTTGCGCGAAAAAGTCTCGCACGAGTGAACTCTGCTTTTCCGGTCGAAAGGTGTAAATTCTGAAAGCCCGTGTCCTGACGACTCGGGGCTGAACAACCCCGAGGTCCCCCAGGCGTTTTGATGGTGAGAAATTGGGGTCCAAAGTCTTGGCGGGAAAAAGTCTCGAACGGGTGAACACCGCCTTTCCGGTCGAAAGGTGTAAAATCTGAAAGCCCGTGTCCTGGCGACTTGGTGTTGCACAACCCCGAGGTCCCCAGGGCATTTGGAAGGTGAGAAATTGGGGTCCAAAGTCTTGGCGAGTAGTAAAGGGAAAGGGGGTACCAGCGCAATCGCAACACGGGTTTTACCTGTGTTAGAGAATTCAGTACGATGATTATCCGCGTTAAGTGTGGATATGGGGGATAGGGGTACCAGCGCAGTGACAACACGTGAATTACCCGCGTAAAGTAATCCCTCGAGTTTTACCGGTGTTACCCGCAATCAAGGTCTATGTAGTTAAATAAGTTAGTCTATATATGGAGTGCGAAGATTATAAGAGAACTTTTAAGAGAGAAGCAGACTTAAAGAAGCATTTAAAGATGAGGAAAAGATGTTTACCCAGCTATGATTGTAAATGTGGTAAGAAGTTCGAAACGAAGGTAAAGTTGTATTGGCATTGCCAGGACTGTAAGTATGACTACGATGATCTGAAAAGGGCCTGGAATTAGGTATAAGATATTTCCTATTATATAGATGGAATCCCAAAGCAATTTCGAAACGTTCTTGATACCCGGTAACGGGGAGATTGACGTCAGGCAGTTTTGGCGTCAGTCAGAAAGGAAGGTTAAAAGGACASCTCGAAAAGGCATAGAAGAATTAGGAGCTCTAAAAGCAAGCTTAATGGTAGAGGTAAGCCTATCAAAAGACGAGGTAACGAACACAGCAATGCTGCGATCGAAGTCACTGGTCATATTAGAGTCCACAGACTTGGATAGGTCACTTAGTGAAGCCTTAGAAGCAATAACAGTGACGCTGTCTAACTACACGAGAGAAGGATCAGGTTGGATAGTGGAGGAGGTAGAAGGCATGGAGATTAGCATGGCAAGGTACGTGTCAATACGAGGAGGCAGTTACGTACCGCTACCAACGTGGGTAGAAAGGAAGAAAGCTATAGTGAACGTAAAGAACGACGACAACAGATGCTTCATGTGGGCAATTAGGTCTGCATTATACCCAGTAGATAAGGATCCCTGTAGATCAAGCAAGTATCCCACAGACGACTTAGAGTGGGATGGAGTAGAGTTCCCGATGCAGTTGATCGACATCCCAATATTTGAAGAAGCGAACGACCTAGCAATTAACGTTTATGGAGCCAGAAATCAGATGATTGTGCCACTGGTCTTCTGCGACTGCTGCTTACTATTATTTACCTTCCCAAAGATCACACGATGAAGCTTGCCGAGGTGTCGAGGAGGTCGCACATCGTATACAAATGCCCGCGGAGAAGGAGTTATCATACGAGGACTTCAAGAGACAAACTAAGGTGCCTTACGCGATCTACACGAACTTCGAAGTAATAATCACAAAGGAGAACCAAGAGAATGAAGAAACAAAGAGGCTGGGTCTGCATGAGATTTGCTCCTACGGGTACATAGTCGTCAGACACGATGGTAAAGCGGACGAACCAGTTATTTATCGCGGCAAGAACACAGCCAATAAGTTCTTAGAAGCCTTACAGGAGGAGGAGGAAGCAATAAGAGAGCGCCTGCGCCGCAAGAAGAAGGTAGCATTCGATACAGAAAGTCAAGCTGCGTACGCAAGTGCTAAGGTTTGTCACGTATGCGACAGCGACCTCCTACAATACGGCAGGCAAGCAAAGAAAGCGTGGGATGACGAGGGTAAGTATCTCGGGGAAGCGCAGTTTAAATGCGGTACCTACGCAAAGAAAGGAGAGAAGCCCGGTAAACCATCCACACACTGCATTCATTGCCATAAAAGATTAGTAGAGGATTTCTACATGGACAAGGTGCTTGACTACTGCTCCGTAACAGGCGYCTACGTAGGAGCCGCCCACTGGAGATGCAGAACGAATGTCGACCCAGAGATGGAGATCCCCGTATTCTTCCACAACCTCCGCGGATATGACTCCCATCTGCTGCTGCAGGGCACGGACGGCTCCGACGTCAAGTGTATACCCAATAACAAGGAGCGCTACATGTCCGTAACCGTGGGCAAGTTGAAGTTCCTAGACTCACAGCAGTTCATGGCGATGGCGGACTCCTTAGCGAACCTAGTCAAATACAACACCAACTTCCCCATCTCCCAACAATACGGCGCAGAACGCAAGGGTGTGTATCCATACGAGTGCATGGATTCCTGGGAGAGATTTGAAGAGCCCTTACCACCAAAAGAGCGCTTCTACAGCACCTTAACAGAGTCAGGGATTAAAGACGAAGAGTACCAGCATGCGTTAGACGTGTGGCAGAAGTACGACTGCCAGACGATGGGTGACTATCACGACATCTATCTACGATCKGACGTCGTACTACTAGCGGACGTCTTCCAAAGCTTCCGCAAGATGGCCATGGATTACTACGGCCTGGACCCCGCGAACTTCTACACAGCTCCTTGACTTAGTTGGAGCGCGCTGTTAAAGAAGACAAATGCACAGCTGGACCTTCTTACCGAGTACGACATGTACCGGTTCATGGAAGACGGTATTCGTGGTGGCGTTTGTGGACCCAGCAGACGTTACGCCCACGCAAACAATCACCTATTAGAGTACGACCCGGAGAAACCAACCACCTACATCTTCTACTTAGACGCAAACAACCTTTACGGCTGGGCAATGTCGCAGTACTTACCCGTACGCGACTTTGAATGGGATGAATTGAAGCCGATCGACTTCTATCTAGGTGTAGACAAGGAATCCGACGAGGGTTACGTGCTGGAGGTGGATCTGGAGTACCCAGAGCACCTGCACGATGCCCACGACGAGTTTCCCATAGCCCCAGAAGCAATAGAAATACCCTTTTCGCAGCTGTCTCCGCTGCAGCAGCAGATGTCCTAATTACAAACCCTACCGCAAATTGACGATGAGCCTGATGGATAAAAAGAAGTACGTCGTCCACTACCGCAACCTACAGTTCTACGTGCCTCACGGAATGCGCGTAAAGAAGATCCACCGCGTCTTGAAGTTCACACAGGAGCCATGGATGCAGCCCTACATCGACTTTAACACCCAGAAGCGCACCGCCGCCAAGAATGACTTTGAAAAGAATCTGTTCAAATTAATGAACAACTCAGTGTTTGGGAAGACAATGGAGAACATTCGCAAGCGCGTCAGCGTAAAGATTGCCAGCACCAGAGAGGAGGCAGAGGCATACGTATCGCAGCCGGGGTTCGTGCGCTACGTAGAAATGCTGAACTTCTACGTGATCCACATGAAGAAGGCGAACCTCTTCCTGAATAAACCAGTATACACGGGCTTCGCAGTGCTGGATCTGTCAAAGCTGCTTATGTACGAGTTCTACTACGACAAGTTAAAACCAAAGTACGGAGACCGCTGCCACCTCCTGTACACGGACACCGACTCTTTGATCCTCGAAGTGCAGACGGAAGACGTTTACCAAGACTGCCTCGAGGACATCGATGAGTACGACACTAGCGGTTACCCACGCGACCACGTCCTTTACAGCGCGAAAAACAAGAAGGTAATTGGAAAGATGAAGGATGAGATGTCAGGCAAGCCAATTGTGGAGTACGTGGGCTTGAAACCAAAGATGTACAGCGTGTTAAAGCTGGACGGCGTGGAGAAGAAAGCCAAAGGCGTAAAAAAGTACGTCGTTAAGAATGACATCACGCACGAGTCCTACTTAGACGTGCTACGAACGCGCAAGGAGCAGCGGCATAAAATGAACAGCCTACGCAGCTACGGACATCAAATACACAGCGTTACGCAAGAGAAGGTGTCCCTGTCTGCATTTGACGGCAAGAGGTGGAWGTGCGACGACGGCATCCATACTATGGCATTCGGACATCACACGATAAGCAGTTCTTCTTTGACGAACCCACGCGCGGGGCCATCATGAAGATGATACAAGATGGGCTGACCCTTCTTAGCTATTGCACTTCGGATCTGGTAAGTTTCCAATTAGGATCCGTAGCTCTTTTGGATCCTCCTTCTAATTCACCTGGCTCATAGAGATATCGAACCGTGACATTACCTATTCTCTTTTCCTGGGGGAAAAGAGAATAGGTAATGTCAATGAAATTTTTGTCCTTCTTGAAGTCCTTCCAAGACATCGTAAGTTCTTTCAAGTCGACATGCTGAGCTACGTGAAGTGCCGCAGAGGCAACTGCCATTAACTTACCGCACTTCAAAGACAACCACCCACAGGTTATCTTAAGTTCTTGGGATATGACATAGTCGTCTCTTATGTCCTTCTGTAGTTGCTCCACGTCGTCTATGGGCAGCGCAAGTCCAAGCAATTTAGTGGCCAGCTTAATTGCGAAGTCTGCTACGGCGTCCGCGGTCTTACTTGCAAGGGCAGCCTCATACCTCTTATGGAACTTCTTAACTTCCTCTTCTGACAACTTATTAACCTGCTCATGGGTAAGTTCCTTGCCTATCATTTCCTTGCACTTCCCCGAAGACACAAGGATGTTAAGTTGTTTCTTAAGGTTACTTTCATCTAGCTGCGTGGGGACTTCATCTATGAGCTGCTCAATCTCCATATATGTTAACGTCATACGGAAACCTCAAAGAGAAGACCAGGCAGGAGTACTCATGCGTCTTCAAGTGCCGCATGTATTCGCGCAACTGTTCCTTGGATATTTCACCGCCGTAGTCGCTTAAGATGGTTTCCAGATCACTCTTACTGGGCGTGTAGAAGACGACAAGTGAACCTATGTTTTCCCTGAATGGCTTAGAGACACTGGTAAGCTGCTGGGAGAGCAACCAAACGCTGATATTGTCATGTCTGCGGCTAAAGGCGAGTTTAACAAGCTCTGATGTGCGTCTTTTTACGTCGTCCCCGCAGGCGATGTCATCCAGTATGAGGAGTGTCTGAGTATCCTTAGGGAATTGTCTATGCCAAAACTTAAGATGTCCAGATAACTCATTGGGGTCTAAGATATCTACGAAGAAGTCGTCATCTTTTACTCCTATGCCCGTCCAGGTGCGGTTGTTCACGTAGGTGGGGCAAAGCAGCACTATGTAGTCAAATCGGTATCTAAAGGGTCCCAATAGCTGCTCTACTACGAACTGGGTCTTTCCGCAGCCGGTGGGTCCTACTATCAGAGCGTTACAAGGCATGTGATTCGGGTTCATCCTATATGAATCCCCTTCATATATAATGGAGCCCGTGGAAGCAGTCAAAGCAATGGTTAACGTCGTCAAAAGGAAGTCAGATCTGGAGAGGACCGTAGAGATGCAAAGGGAGGAGATAGACCGGCTAAATGAACGCGTACAGGAATTGTATGAGGAAATGTGTGGTCTGAAGCGAGCAGAGCGGTTTGGTGCTTTGATAACAATGGCAACGTGGGCTAAGGAGTCCGTCGTGGACTTCATGCGGTATCCTATGTAGGATTCCTAACGAAGCTTATTACATTCTTATTATATATGGAGTGTGGCAAGAGCGGCAGGGAGTTCAGTAGCAAGCAAATGTTAAGGTACCACGTGCAAAAGAAGGTCTGTGAGAAACCCCGCGGGCGTCATTGCGAATACTGCGATAGGAGGTTCAGCACAAAGAAGATGCTGCAATATCACGAGGAGAATCGCGTCTGTAGGAAGAATGTCTGCGTCTACTGCGAGGAGGACAAAGACGAGGATTGGCACAAAGAAAGGTGTCTGCCTCGATATGATCTGACGGACATGGTCTGCTACAACCATGGCRACTTGGCGGAGCACTGCTGCCCGCAGGAGACCAAAAAGAGGCTAATACAACGTAAGAAGGAGATTGACATGAGCTTTGCATTGTTTGACCGCGCCGAGGGTGTAGAGTGGGAAAACAGAGAATATTGGGAGGCGCCGTGCGACCGATGCGGTTGCCAAAGGGATGAGCAGCACATTTGGCAGTGTCTGGCGCCCAGTGTGGACCCGCGGTCGTTCAAGGAATACATACGCGGCGTTTGGGAGTGGAGGGGCAGCCACCAAAACCCCCCGGAGGAGGTCCCTGATTCTCCTTAAGGAATTATTACGCGCCCGGAAACTATTTCGAAGGAATCCTTATTCCTATTCATTATTTATTTAGGAGGTCGGAAACTATTTCAGCAAAATCCTCATTCTTATTTATTCCTATTAAGGATATCCAATTCTTTTTTAGGGTCCCCCAATAATATTTTAAGAAGAATGAGGATTTCTTTGAAATAGTTTACAACTGCCTTAATAAGAATAAATAAGAATGAGGATCTACTCAAGATAGTTTCCGAGGCCAACTAATACACCTTTTGC